CTTATTTGAGTTATTTTCTTTCTTGCAAATTGAAATTGCAATTGTAGAGAGAGGTTCATTCGTCAGTTCCTCCTGCTTTTGTTACCCTGCTACTAGGGTTACAGAGTCGCTGCTGCTTTTCTCCTTCCAATCTCAACTCAATCGGAAACTCACCTGCTGGCCCTTTTTTCTCGCTTCCTCCGGCAGCCGTCCCGTCCCGTCTCGTCTTAGCGCGAAAGAGCTACGCCACTTGGTTCTCGACTTGACGGAGGCAATTACTATTTAATTTTAATTAATGGGTTCTTCGAAGAGGAAGTCGGCCGAAGGCCCATTCGCCGACTCTTCTCCGCTGCTCCAACGGAGAAAAGACAATGATTCGGCTGCCTACTACGACCGCCTGGCCTGTCTACATGATGTCTCCTACCGGGAGCAGGGTTATGCTCCAAAGACTCCCCCATCACTTTACCCTTTTCAATCTGAAGCTATCAAGTGCCTTGACAATGGTGAGTTTGTCACTTGAACAAAGCTTTATGCTTTCTGGCCCTTTTTATTTTGGCATCTCGTAGCTTAAGCTTAAGCTTGCTATATATTTTCAGGTTTCAGCTCACTGCAGAATAAGCAGCGGGTTATATGTACTTCACCAATTAAAGCACTCAGCAACCAAAAGTTTAGGGAGTTTAAAGAAGAGTTTTCCGATGTGGGTTTGAAGAGGGGGGATGTAACAATTGAGCCCAATGCTTCGTGCTTGGTAAATCTCTTTGCAACTTTCTTAATATGTGTGTGTTTTGTATTATGGTCTCCTTGGAGATGGTTTGTTTTTCAGGTAACGACCACTGTGATCTAGCGTGGTATGCTTTACAGAGGATCTGAGATCATACGAGAAGTTGCTTGGGTTATTTTTGATGAGGTGCACTACATGCGTGATAGAGAGAGAGGTGTCGTGTGGGAAGAGAGTATTGTCATGGCACCAAAATTTTTGAGAAAAATGAAATCCTTCATAGGAGGGATGTCTTCGGAGGGGGTGGGGGGAAGAATTCTAACCACCAAAGTTCTCTATATAATTCAGGTTGCTCAAGGGTCTATGGGTATTTTTTGAAATTTTTCTATGTCATCCCAGGATGGTGGATCGTTCTGGGTTGCAATTGTAACTTAAAAAAGGGACCATAGCACCGACTTATGACATAGGATTCAATTTTTTTGTTCAAACTTCAAATAATTTGGATTTTCTGTATTTAGGTTTACATTACCATACCTATGACATGATATTATTTGAATATTTTAGATTCATTTCACCATTTTTCTATTTGTTGATGTGTTTTATTACGGAATGAAGCTTGTTCAATATACAAATTCGAAGCTTTTCGGGGTTATAGAGATGGTGGTTGCAGTGAGGCGAGCCGATGCGAAGAGGACAGACTGATGGAAAAAAAAAAAAAGGAAAAAAAGAAAAGGAGGACTGTAGTAGAAGGGTGAAGTAAATAAGGGTATTTTAGTCTTACTATAGTTAAAAAATCATTATTGAAATAGTTACTAAATTCAGTAAAGATGACTATTCAATTAGGCTTTGATACATTAATTAATGCTTATTAGGTTAGAAAATCTCATTAAATTAAACAATACAGTATTACAGTACTAATATAATTTTTGTAGTTGGCCAAAAAAGTATAATTTTTGTGATAATATAATACTAAAAAAAATTAGACATTAAGGTTTTATTTGGCAACATTTTTTTGGTATTTTATTTTATTTTATTTTTTAATTTTTATGTTTTTCATTATCTTAAAAATAAATAGAATATTAATTAAAATATATATTAAATATATTAAATATGTTTTTAAAATATTAAAAAACTAACAACTACAATTACAAAACCAACAATCTCAACCTAAATCTAACTCTTTAAGTATTTTTACCTTCCTATGAAGTTTCTCAATTTATCTTGTTTTTATATAATTTAACCATCACCTTCTCGACATGTCTCTTGAAACTAGTGCGACAATTATTTTATATAATTAAAGAATTAAATTAAAATTACTAAAAAAATATAAATGGAATATTTAAAAGAAAATTAAGATGTATAACTAATTAAATATACCTGGAAGATCCCACGGTTGGTCTGCAAGGATGTCCGTATCTATGATGCCCCAAAATGTGCAATCCGAGTTTACTCTCTCACTGAGAATAGTTTTGATGATCTGGAGGTCCAATTCCTTACCGGGGGGAATACTAAACAAGGGGTGTCCCCACAGTGACACTGGAATTGGTGCCTGAACAGCATTACCCTCCATGCCACCATGATACTGCTGAGTACTGACACGAAGGCCACTAACAAAACAAAGCTGTCCTAGAAATCCCGGTCAGTACTGGGCCTAGGAATCCCGGGCGTTGGCGGCAGTCAGCGGAATGAATAATTTTTCCATAAATTCACAATATTTATATTTGAATAAATTAAAAATAATATAATAATAATATCACTTAGATATTATAAATTGATATTAATGTTTTTTTTATCTTATTTTTTAAAAGTTACGAAAGAAATTACTCTAAAATTATAT